TATTATTGCGAGCTTTCGATCGTATAAAAAATATAGAGAGAGATATTAGAGAACGATCATGCCACGCCCCCAACTGAGGTGGGGCGTGATTGGCACTCAACCCTTATCACTCGTTGAGTGAACCATGTGCTAGTTGTATCAAAACTTCAGGTTTAATAGAAAACAACCTAATGCGCTTAAATATTCATTCTAGTCAAGTTGCGATTCGTAAAGGGACTAATAAAATAATCAATAAAGAAAAAATCCCAAAATATCTTAATACTAACCCACTAACAAGTCATGGGCCTCTAAAATTTGAAAAAAACTGAAATACATAGCCTCCAGGGCATTCCCCGAAAATAAAATAAACATCTAAAAATAAATAATAGTCTCATAAGAGTCCGCTACCGATGGGATGAATCAACTGAGTCTGTAAACTAAATCTGAAATATCTCCTCTAGCCACGTGCCTTGTTACTTGCATCATCAATACCTACCACACGATGTAGCAGGCTCAAACGGGCAAATAGTCTGTTTGGCCAAGCTAGAAAAATCAGTTTATTTTGAGAAGTGTTTTTTCAAAAGTGCTTTTCAAAAAAGTATTTTTGGAGAACAGCAGTTTGTGTTTGGCTAATCAATTTAAAAAGCACTTTTGAACAATAATTTGTATTTGGCCCAAATTTTTAAAAAGTGCTTTTATATGTCAAATTACAAATAAGGACATGAAGAGATTTGCTTAATAGTTAATATTATATAAGTAGATAAATAATTATAAATTTTTATTATTATAGATAATAATTAAGTTTTTTATTTTATTTAAGTAAAATATAAAAATAAAATTGAAAAGTACTTTATTCTTTCAAGATAATTTAAATATATCAAAAATCATCCAATAAATATGAAAGTTCATCCCAAAAATTATTTTATATTACTTAATAGTTTAAATTAAGTAAGATTATTTTGGTATATATAATATTTTGCAAAAGATATTTTTGGTTGGAAGAAAAGTCAAAACTGCTTCTGATTCTGCTTCTGGAGAGAAGATACTTTTTTCTGCTTCTTCAAAATTACTTCTGCTTCTATCCAAAAGCACTTTTTTAAAAAAAAAAAAAAGAAGCTTGGCCAAACACCTTAAATTGAGGAAAAAGGCACTTTTTTTTGAAAAAAAAATACTTTGGCATGCTAGAAGCTTGGCCAAATAGGCTACAAGTATTACCAAAGGATACCGAGTAAGTCTCATAGGCTACCTCCTAAAAAGCCAGAGCGAGATTCTGGGAAAACAATATAAAAGAAAATGGACATACGGAAAATCATATAAATCATATAAAAATCTTATAAACAAGTAATGAGCTGGAAACTGAAACTATAAGCTGAACTGTAAACCAAAACTGAACATTTTTCTGAAATTCAGTACACGTAGTGGCCCTGCATACGTGAGCATCTGGAAACTCGTACGGGGGAGTGTCGGCCTAGCTCCCCAACAAACAGTTGGCACCTGCGAGCGTGGGGTAACTAACTCTGGCATCATGGTACTCACGCTGGGGGAGGTTGGTCACTTCTCCCTACTGAATGATCACATTGATGCATGTATTAATGTTGAAACTGAATACTTAACTGAATGTAAATATCACAAACAAACGTACTTAACAACTGGTAATACAAATAAGCATGTGTTTCTGTCATATATATCGTCGTACTGAATAAGAATGAAGTAAACGTAGTATTTGGATTGCAATAAGACATTGCTTGAATTTATTGAACACATGGAGCACAGGGGTTCTAATGGAATTCTCTACTAGGAAAGTAAGCCTCAACTCACCTTAAAGCTCGCTCAGCTTCGACTTCATGTATCCTCCAAACCTCCCGATTCACAAATTTTCAATCTATATGTAACAGTCGGGTTCAATTCACATCAATACAAGTCCAAAGAATATAACATTACTCTCTTCAATTTAAGAAGATTACTCAAATCTTCTAACTCGTGAGTTTTCAACAATACAGGGAAACTATGTATACCTACTTCAATTCTATAGTCCAATGAGTTATAATCATCACTAAGAACATATCGTACCATACTCAGTCAAGACTCTATTATCAAATTTTTACTTTTACTGCTCAAACCCTAACTCTTGTTTGGAATTATAATTAACTATCTTCATATATAACTGATAATTAAAGCAAAGGAACAAAAGAAAAGAAAAAGGATGAAAGGAAAAGTAGACTCCTCTTACTCTATGTCGGCGACGAGCAATTTTTGTTTTTGTGTTTCTTTGCATTCCTCGTCAGCATTCAGAAGCGAAGAAAGGCTTGATACCTTATGTCTTTTATTATTTTAAAAAGACCAAATGAAACCCAAATATGACCATCGCTCAATTGGCTGGCCCACTATATATTTAATTATATGCAAATTTGATTGAACGTGCTGCCACCCATGCTACTTTTTGACTCCAAATAAAAGCAAAAGTTTTGCCAATTAGAAAGTCTTTTTATTTTCTCTACCCCTGGCCCACTTGTCTTTCATTGCTGACCAAGATCCTTGTATATTTCTTGCTAATTCCTTACATATAAAATAGATGTACTTCTTTTACATACATCATCGTATTGCCATTATAAGGACAAATGTATCGAGTGTTGCATTTCAATACATTGAGCAAACAAGATTTTATTTATTCTTAAGTATCCGTCCTACCATATTAGTTCATATCCTATACACATATTGTCCCAAATACTTCGCTTAAACCATGCAAGTCCTTATACCATTCGAGCACTTTAATTACGTTATGAACTCCGAGATTATTAAAAATTTTAAGCTAGAATTTTATGGGGCTTTACAGATCAATTAATAAAAGTATCGTTAAACAATTTTTTTAAGAGAACTCAGATAATATTTGAAGTTGATATTAGAGAAAATATCAAGAAATTAAGTGTTTGTCTGAAAAAGAAAAGAAAGAAATCATTTTAATTTTTGCTTGAACATACAATTTTCTCAAAATGCAATGTGACGAGTTGAGAAGGATCTTATGACTAGGAGTATTCATGAAAAATAAAAATTTGAATCAAATTAATTTAAATTAGATTCATATGAGAAAGTTTAATCGATAGTGAAGTATTATAAAGAAACCACAAGAGTTGAGGAAGCGAAACACGTAGAACCGGAGGTGCAAAATATGCATAAATTCATGCTCATCATACTTGCAAAATATCAACCAATACTCAGTTAATTTTTTGTTTCAGAAAAAAAAAATGTTCCCCGTCGACCATCCCAAGAAAAACTAGAACAATATGAAGTCATCATCAATTTCATAAAGTAACATGCTAGAAGATCCATAAAAAGCAAACATTCACATTTTAATATAGTATGTATTATGGAGAAAGTTTTGGAACAAAATTTCGTGCCTTTGTGTTGGATTATATTTATAAAAATTGAAGAAAAAAAAATTTAAACTAAAGGGAAAAAAATCATTTTCTATTTACTTAAGGACACGTTTTCTAAAATCTTGAGTTAGCTTTGATTTTGAAACCCACATTTGTCACATTGCTTGAATAACATGACTTTGTGCGGACTAAATGTGCATTTCAACTTCACAAAAGGACTTTGAGAAAATAATTTCAATAAAAATAAGGAAATAATACTATGTTTGAAAGAAAAATGGAACTTTAAGAGAAAACAACTTTACAAATTTTTTTAGTATGATCAATTTAGGAATACGTCTGTAATATTCTTTTCGTAATTTTCTTAAGGTTAATTTTTTTAGTTTTTTAATGTAATTTTATCTTTGTTAAATTAGATTAGTATTAAATTAAGTCTTTTAATTATCACCATATAGATATATCAGAGCACAATTTTATGAGGACGATTTAAGTTTTTTCACTAAGGTGCTATTAAATAGGAAATTTGATAATAGAAGTATTGTTACTTAAAATCTTTATATTTTTCTTGATATACTAAAATATTACATTTGCCAAAATTGGTTAAGTTTAAATTAGTTTTGAATAAACTTGGTTGTATTAAGCATTAATATGTTATAACTCAAATTGACTTCAACAGAATTGTTTCGGATGTAGTAATTTTTTTGTAAAAAAAAAAAAGGTGAAAAGAGAATATCTATTTTGATCATGCAAATAGTGGCATTTTGATTATAAAGTCAAAAATTCTACATCACCAAGTGACTTCTATTTATCTTATCAATTATCCCACGGTTCCCTATGATCTTTTATAGATGCTTTATCTGTCAAATGTTCCAACCAACTTTATTTAATTAACTGCTAAGCAACTCTGAAAGAAAACTTTACCAGCTTAGCTATGGCAATTGGGTCCGGATACACCCTCACTAGTATTGACTATTGAATACACACAACAATAGTTATCTGAAGCTGAATTAGCTCATTAAGAAACACATGAACCGCTTCAAAGGACCATTTGAGGCGCATTTCTTATGATTCATTTGTTTCCAGTTGTGTCGTAAGGAAAAACCTTACTCAAGCAAATCCAACCAACCATACGCTTCCCTTTACTTAATATTTTATAAAATAACGAATTAATCAATTTTTATACTAGTATCTTTTTCCAAACCTCGCTAGGCATCAATTTTTGTCGAGATCCTAAAGTTATCGTTTTTTTTTAAGTATGAATTGAGAGAAATAAATCGGAAAGAATTTTATTCTAATAGCCTTTTCAATTCAAATGGCTCACGTGTGTCTGATAAGTCGATTCCGTCGAAGATAACTACGGCCAGATTTTCGTCACCTAGTCTATATCAAAGGACTATTTTAAATTAATTCCCAAACACAAGATTCAAGAAACTATTTTTGTCAATTTCCTCACTTTTGAAAGACAACGTGCGTGACAGGTTTGGCCGACTTTTTCTTGCACATTCCACTACTAAGAGGAACGAAGGATCTCAAGTGTCCGTTGAAATGAAACTAAGTTGTACGACTTTATAATCCATTACAGTTCATTTCCTCTGCTGTGAAACCCCATTTGGAAACGGATTGACACAGCCTAAATTCTGGTTAGATACATATGCAAGACTGCTATTTGAAAATTTTCTGAATGAAGATTGTCAAAAGTATCAAGTAAATTAAAGACACTAAGCAGTTATCTTAGTCACACCCGAACATATGATTCTAACAGCAATAAAAGAAAAACAAACTCAAAAAACCTATGACAATAGATTCTGGTACTATGGCTTCAAAAAAACGTACGAATAGGATCTTAAGGAAAGTCACGGGAAGCTTACTGTCCTGGAAGTGCCAGAATTACGTCTCAAGCCGCTGTCTGTCATTTCAGATTCTCGATGAAGCTACTCATTTCTGAGAACATTCCAAAACCAAACTCCATAGTTCCTTGATGGTGTAGTAGTAAAACGTAAGCAAAATTCAGATTAGTTAGTTTTCTTTTCGTCTTCTTTCAGTGCTAAAGTTTCTGAACTACTAGAAGCTTGATCCGTATCCTCCCCAGCGAAACCAAACTCATTCACTCGTTTCTTATCCACTGGATAAACCCATCTCTGATATAGGTAAATTAAAAATATAAGATCTGCATGGCAAAGACAGATGAAACATTAGTAACCCAATTGGATGAAAGCTAATGCATATAATACAACCACACAAACGCATAGAACGCTTGCAATAATAGACTTCTAAAACAAGATCACCACAAAAATTAGTGGCTCAACTATATCAATTAGGCTGGAGACAAATGTAAAAGGAACAGTAGCATCCAGGCAATGTCTGCTTACTGCTCCTTTGGTTTTCACAAAAAACAGTATTACAAAATGGTCAACTGAATCCAGCATATAAGCTGCTACAATCAAATAACCAAGTTCATCGTTTATAATGGTTAAAGATTGCTCGAGCTTCTGTTAAGATGTTTATCGCAACCAGTATTGAAGTCTCAAACACTGAGAACACATACTTAGCATCTTATAGATGTTCTTATCTAGCTGGTCACTTGATTAACCAAGAAAGTCCCAAGACCTTGGCTTTGGTGTCGTAATAGAGGACAGTCAATGAAACTCTCTAAAGAGTCTGTATTATGTTCTATGGCTTTGAGCTTATGAAACAACATTAGAATTCAAAGTAAAAGGCAAAACTGGCTTGGATTCCAACGGTCAGAGAACAACGGCCGCTACTTAACCAAATAAAAACCAATCAACCAACTACAAAGAATCTTATTTCAAAAACTTACCATCACGGAACACAGACAGGCGATGTAGCAATGGCATTTTTATTACAAATGCAAACAAATCATCAATAATAGTATTGAGAAATTTGTAAGTCATCTGCCTCCAAGGTAAATGAGCAACAGACTTCAGCTTATAATTGATGAACAACTGGGGACACATCATAACAAAACCTGCAAAAATAAGAGTAGAAAATAATAAATTACCAAGAAGCAAAGCGATGGGAGTATATGCTATCAGAAGTCCTTGCTTTAAATGTTTTTAAGAGTACAAGCTTCTAGAAAGTGTGAACTGTGATTGTACTATCAGTTGCAAGATGATCTGAAAATGTTTCTCACATTGTTCAGCTGATGCGAGGCTTTGAGTACATTACTGAGATCCTAAATACCAAAAGATAAAAGATGAAAAGACCAATAGAAACTTACCGAACATATAGACACAGCTTGTCATGGATGAGAGGATCCACGAGTACCAACTCTTGTGACGTTCATACATTAAAGAGTATATGGAAAAGCACACGACAAGGAAGAACAACACATAGGACAAATACTTCATGGCAAGATCATCATATTCTTTCGTCTTATTTCCAGCATACGATTCCCGATCTCGGAACCTCAACATAGGTATTCTACCAGATCTGTCAATCTAGAAATCAAGGACAATTAGCAATAGAACTGTTGGCGGTTTGAATTTATGCTTAACAAATCACAGTATGTAAAAAGAAGGCATCAACAATGAAGAAGACATTAAGTTTGAATTCTCAATTTCTAATCTCCAATTTAGTTAGTATTCTACCTCCTAAGCAACTCACATCTTCCAAGTAAACTAAACTAAGTGAGAACCACACAAGAAGCAATCATATAAGATAAGTAGCCCGATTATGATGACATAAGGAACAGTAAATATATCTATCTCTCTCCCTCCCTCTCTAAATATATATATATATATAGAGAGAGAGAGAGAAAGNGTCTCCCTCATCAATGGTGACTACCCAAAATAACAAACATAAAATTGAGAAATAAATTAAAGACAAACAATAGTTTCTCTTTTTAGAACCATTTGGCTGACGGGAATAACTTTTTATTGTTCTTTCCTACTCTTTTAGAACCACTAGTTTTAGTGCCGACCTCCGTGGAAGTGTTGTTGGAGGAATTGTTACTGGGCTTTGAGGTATTCAAATCAGATTTGAAATTAACATTTTTGACATTTTGAAGAAGGAGAGGAGGAGCAAAGCTTGTGGAGTGATATGAGATTGGAATTGGAGATGTCGGATAATGGGTCTCTTTCTTGTTCAAGGATTTAGAGCTGTTTGGGTTATTTCTTTGAGTAGCCACATCAATCTTTTCTCTTTTCTGCTTTCACTATGAACGACGGCGAGAAGTAAAAAAGAACAAGAGGGGAGAAGATATCTGGGTTTAAGATTTGATATAAAGACAAAAAAGCCCCGATCATTATGCTTGTTTAATTTGTTGTCAGGGGCATTTAAGGCAAACAAATGTGCGTACACTGCTAACCTACTACAACCATGTTAGTAGGAGCAAAACCTCCATATATACATATATATATATATATATATATATTTCTCCTGATTACTAGTCAATGAACATAGTAAATAAGAAAATATTTCGGAGGACTTAGATGCTCAATAAGATAACCAAAAAAAAGGGCAGGAAATATCAATAAAATTTTGCCTTAAACTTCCAATCACTCTAACTGTCTAAAGCATATAGAAGAAAGAACTAACGACCAAGCACCAGCATGAAATTAGAAGACTTTATTACAATGAAGCCAAATGACAATTAAAGAACTGAACAAAAATTCATCTCTATTATTAGTGATCATACCTCAATGTGCATCGCCTTCCCTATTTTCCAGAACTCTATACAGCAACCAATACCAGAACTTGCAAGTATCATCCATGAAGTATCATTATCAAGCAAGTACAGGAAGACAATGAGCTGGCAAATAAAGTTCACGATGACTGATTTTGCAGACAACCCTTCCATGGATTTGTTTTTATTCCAAAATTGAATATCTGCAAGGAAAGAAAACATATTTATTCTGAATCCGATCTACTGCACGCTTCCTGTAATTTCCTGGGAAGGCGCAAATGCTCAAAGCAAAATTATATTTACCATTCTTGAACGCCAAGAAGTCAAATACTGAATGCAGTAGTGAGACCATCATGGTCACCCCCAAAAGGTAAGGATTTCCTTCCAAAAAAACTCTCTGGAAAAAGTGCGATAAATCACGTGACAAACGCATATATAATAGTTGCACTGTGTGACAATAATGTACGTTGCTAAAATTTCACATCATGACCACAGTGATCTAAAGCAGGACTCTATATGTTAGTTTGACCTTTTGGAGTTGGAAATTTTATAGATATTTACTGGAGGCAGACATGCAAATTGGTACTAATAATAAAAGAAAGAAGTATAACAAAGTAAATTCAGATAGAAAAAAAGTATGCATATTCTAGGTAATAAACAGAATATACACAGATAATGTACGTCTCCTGGTTTTCCAATTTTGTAACGTCCAGTATATTCTTGAGCATTGTGGTGCCTGTATAATATTTACATTTATCTACACACTTTTCGGGCTTAACTACAAATCACTTGCATCTGGATAATTCATGTGCAAAAGTGCTATGCCAATGCATACATACTACCGGAAAAAAAAAAGTAAACTATACCTTTAGTTCATCAGACTCTCCCTCGAGCATGCTACCATAACTACGATGAACCTGGAAGGATTGGTCAATCTGGAGGAATAGCTGCCATTTTGTCATGCTCATGGGGCTCACCTCTAAATGCAGAGGCACCTCAGTTACTGATTCATTGAGAGGTATTAATTTATCCCTAAGTAACCAAAACTCATTGAAGAAAATGGTCGGATAGTAGTTTCCTGTTGTGGATTCGATATTCATGTCTAAGAAGCCAGGTAAAGGAATTCAACTGTGGGAAAATATCTTTTGCTAACAAGAAGAACAGATGAAAGATGCCAACTCACACAGAATTAAATAAAAGAGCAAGAGAAGATAGGATTTAGCATGAAGGAAATCATAAACTTGCGTGAAACAAGTTTACCAATTTCTTCCACAAGTTTAATCGAGCTGCTTCTTGCGTACTGCAGAAGTTTCTAATATTGCAGCTTCTTTAGCACAGTACAGTGTGTAAAAGGAACCCACAAGAAGAATAAAGACACATAGGACGTAAAACCAAGGATACAAGGAGCAACAATAGGTGGAATCGCATTTCCAGTGTATCTGCAAAAAGGAAAAGAGCAAAGAGTGGAAAAAGAAAGAAGAAAAAGAACTGAATGTTAGAATGTACACATTAGAAGGAAATACAGTTAAACAGATCAGAAAGAGAGGCAAGTATGCATACCTTGTAAAATCATCGACCAAGTTGATTGTAACATTAGGTTTCCAATATGAAATCCACTCAACAGGAGCATCCTCCTTAAGATCATCTTGGGCTTCTTGAACTGCCTGAGAAAACTACTCATCATACCTCATGATTATATGGAATTAAAACCTTATATGGTGACGAAAAGAACGATAATTCATATAGGAGCAAACGAAATTTATTACACCACAGTGTGAAATAGTCAAAAAAGTCATTCTGCTGGTTCAGGAGTTGATGTCATAATGTAAAATAGTCAGAAAGATTATTCTGTTGGGTGGGATCCGAAGTTAAGAATCTAGAGGGTATATTTGAGGAAAACCGAGGCAGGGAACAAATTACTCACGCATTAAATGCAGAAACGAAAGATTTGATGCTTAAGCCATAAAACAAGCCCACAGATATTGCATATGCACACAAATACAAATATAAAAAACACAGGTGTACCTCAGGAATGGTAAGACCCTCATTTGAGTCCTCAGAATTTTTTAAAAGGCTCTTCTTCTTGTCTGCTTTAGATTTGGGTAAATATTTCACAACAGCTGGGTTCACAGAAACAGTACATTAGAATTAGGTACTAAAGGAATTCCACCTTCTACCACCATAGGTAAGGACAAAAAATTCACAGATAACATGATCTTACGATATGTCTGTCCAAAAGCAGCCAATGGATGATACTCGGGATCATTTGGATCGGGTGAATACCCAGAACGTGCAAAGAAAACATGAGCATATAGACTCCCATTATGCCTCACTGCCTGAGAGGAAAAATCATAGGCAACCAAGTAAAGATGAGTATTGTGCCACAGTAAAAGTGCAAAACAGGAAAGGCACATGCATTCAAAAGCGAAAGACAGTATCCTGAATCAATTTTTTCTTCTAATTGAATAAGACACTTCAAAAGGCAGCTAATGGTACCTCGGATGGATTATACTTCAAAGAAATAGACCTGGTACTTTCTGGTCCCCAAACTNAATTGCTTTATTTTCATTGCATAATGACAGACTTTTCAGCTTTTTATAAATTTATGTTATTTTATTAGCAAATGGATAAATAACGGAATAGCATTATGTAGGTATATAAGTTTGCTATTATCTCTGAATGACACTATTTGAACTTCTTTTATGTGGTAAACGCCAAGCGCCCTAAAGCCACTCCCTTCCTAGGCACCAACATTGGTTTTTCCCACTTTCCTCCTTTAGTGACTCGAACTCCCAGCCTCTTAGTTGTTAACGGAGTGTTCTTACCACTAGAGCAAATCATTTTGCCAATGATCCTAGTTCAATGTTTAAAGAAACAGTTGTCGATAACAGCTTGCTATAGGATCCCCAATGATAAAATACAACCACAAGACAAGAATATATTACTCTTCCCCTCTTTTCTATCATTCTCTACTTATGCCTTTTCTTTAGGCATGGGCGGAGAAGGGGGTTATTGAGGTAGCAAACTCATAAGAATTTCATGGGACAGGTTCATATCAATCGCAATTGCATACAAAACAAGTACTTGTCCTCGATCTTCTTTTTATAATCGAGAAATCCCCAAGGACAATTGATGCACGGTATGAAACTCTTTAAATAATGGGCTTGCCCTCTACCTTCTCCACTTAAATATCAGGCTTTTGCAAGCGGCGTGGTTCAAATTTTACTTGTCCTTTGATCTTATCAGAATTATATCCGTCAATTAAAATATCTTTTGCCGTGAATCATTTTTCACATTGGGCAAAAAAACACAGCTTAGCAGCAACTCCATTATTTCGCACATCACATCCAAGTTTGCACATCACTCGATTCCCTAACTCCGTTTCCCAGGAAATAGTGTCACCATTGAAACAACAAAAGTCCACTCTATTGCATCAAACTTCAGCTAAATATCCATACGCAAAATTAGGAAAATAAATGGTTGAAGATTGAAAAATACAAAGAATATTTGAAGTTGAAGTCGGAAAAAGGGTATTTGAAAGTTGAAATTGTGTATTAGACATGAATTTCAGTTGGGAGAAAAAAGTTAGAGTTTTGTCAGTGCAAATCATATTTCACTTGAAGTACTCCTCAAACCAGTTTTACAAACTTCAAAATCTATAGTTTGAGTTGAAATTGGAATTGACCAAATTGTAAAACAAACACTGGTTTAAAATTTTTTTCTTCAAAAATTCCAAATATTACACACTACCCTCCCAGACCCACCTGTGGGAGTACACTGGGTATGATATTATTGATGGTGGTGGACAAGCCCATCTACGGGAATACCCTGGGTATGTTGGTGGTGGTGGACAAACGGCATGGAACCATGCAAAAAGGAGAAAGAAACTATCTTTCTACGTTTAGCTGTTGCTCAAAACTTAAGAATCAATCAGTTTCAGATTCACTGTTGCGTGCTTCAACTATCTCATTCGAAATCCATCAAGCAACTTCTTTTTATACGCATACGACAAATTTGTTCACAATGTGACAGCAGCGGAGCTAGCTTGTCGCAAGGGGTTCAATTAACTGCGCCACACTCCGAACCGACTACTTCTAATTTCTAAATCCGCCTCTACTAGTGGAAACTATTAAACAGCAATATTTATACGACCAGGTCACCTATTAGGTAATTATCAGATAATAACCTAGTATCACAGTTAAAATATACAACCAGATGAATACTAGTAAGTAGAAATACTATTAAAGAGAGAGAGAGAGGAGGAGGACGGACCAAAGGTTCGCCTTTGTGGAAGAGATTGGAGATCTGGAGATTAGGAACAGACGGATCGGAGGAGATTGGCTTTTTCGGCGAGAAAAACTTGGAAGCGAAGTACCAGAAAACCGCTACTCTTATTATCCCCGTCAGCATCTGTCCAACTCCTCCCTGCTGCCGCTGCTGCTGCGCAGGGGGCGGCTGTTCTCTTCCGCCACCTTCAATCGCCGGCGGCGCCATTGCTGTGTCTTTACGCTACAATAATCTCTTGCCGGCGGCGAAAAATATCGCGAGAAGTAAAGACTGAAAAGAAAAAAGTGAGCGCGTGGTTTTTATATAAATATCAGGGCGATTGGAACAAGAAGATATTTTTTAGCCAAGGGGTTTCTGAGGGAGAAGAGAATTCTCTCTTTGTTGGGACTTACGAGCGGCCACGACTGTAAGCAAATAGGACAGTGACACTTTGGAGTCTTTTACTGGTTGGCAAGCTAACATTACATAAGTGTCACAACTTAAAACAAATAAATCTAATATTAACAGAAAAATATTTATATTTGTAGCACATAATTATATAAAAATAGAAATATTAATTATTAATCTCTATACATAAATAATTTGAATGAAAAGTTAATAATTATTTATATAAAAATTATATTTTTTTTTCTTTTTATCTATTAGCTTTCCTTCTTTTTCTTTATTTTTTTAATTTTATTTTCTGCTGAAGTCAATATATTTTCTAAATTTGTTCCATTCGTTTTCTTTTTAATTATCCTTCTTAAGTTTTTCTCTTCCTTCTTTCTTCCTTTCTTAACATAAAGATCTTACTTCGATAATAATATACGTTAATATATACAAAATATATAAAAATATATATATATATATATATTAAATTAACACATATAAAATATACAAAAAAATATACATAAAAAATACATCTTCAATTAAGATGACACTTAGACATGTGAAATATACATAAAAAAATATAGCTTAAATTTAATTAAGATGGCATATAAATATATAAAAAAAACATATATATATATATATATACATTCTGAATTAAAATGGCACTTGACATATAAAATATATTTGAAATATACATTAAAAATACATCTTAAAATAAGATGGCACTTCACAAATAAATATACAAAAATTATATACATAAAAATACATTTTGAATTAAAGTGATACTTGATATACAAAGTATAAAAGACGTATAAATCAATACATCTTGAATTTAGGTGGCATTCACATATGCATCAGATTTTAAAAAATGGAGTGAAGAAGATGAATGTTGGGCTTAATTTTTGTAATATGCTAATAATGAAAAAAAAATACTTTTTATGGAATAAACAATAAATGATGTTATTTTTTTAAATAATTCAATATATAAAAAAGGATCAAGTGTGTAAAAAACTCCATAAAATAACATAGGGCGAACTGCACCAGCAGCCACTTTTAGGCCATACTCTTTAAAGTATATCCATAATTTATATGTATTTAAAAATTAGTTAGTTCATTCAAACTTTACGAGTAATTATCCTGAAATTTTTAGCTGCTAATTTAGAATTCATGACTAATTGTCCTAGATTTTTAAACTGCTAATTTAATTAGGATATAAGATTCGAATTTCCTGTACAATTTTCGAACTTTAGGAACGATGTCCTAAAATTTGAACTTAGAGGTTTAAATTCCAGGAGGCCGAGTCATGAAATTTGACGAATTGGCCAATCCTTAAATATATTGTATACCATTAATATATTTTAAACAGCATGCTTAAAGGTGGCTATCAGGTGTCATTCCCACGATAACATAAGTGCAATCCATACACATATATTGCAACTAGATGGCCATAACTTTGCAAATCTATATCCCAAAAAATAGAGATTTGGGATTTCTACCTAGTTATACACTATATGAGATTTTTTTATCCTCACTAATCAAGTTTTAACTTAATTACATAGGCATATAAAATTTACCAATTATATACATTTCAAGAATTAATTGAGATATCAATTACTCCCGTATCTCACGCTATATTGTACCTAGCGTTCCTATCTCCCCCCCC